TTATTTGCTGAACTGTATGTATAAGGGGAAGGTTTAATTCGCATGCTCTGGATATTGATAATTTAATAAATAGGTTGGAAAGTGGGGAAGATAAGTCGTGCACTGAAGGTGTTCGACGAATTGCTTGAGAGAACATCTTTGCCAACATTCAGAATCTTGAGACACTGCATCGGATTTTCTAGTGAACGAATCCCTCCAAAGTTTAGTGAGAGAGAGAGTGTGTGGAGTGTGTGGTTGGGTTCTTGATGATCGTCGGTAACTGGAGAGAGAGAGAGAGACCTTTAATATTAAATAATTATATTTTTTATTAAATAAGGCAAAAACTTCATAAATAGTCCTTGTGGTAGTGAAATGACAGAAATACCTTCACTTAACAGCCAAAAGCTAACGGATTTAGCGAAAATGATTATTTGTTAAAAGTTTTGAAACCATATAGACCATCTGTGAGGTTTTTTGAACTTAAGAATTAAACTTGATGTTTTCGAAAACCACATGAACCATTTTTGAAGTTTTGTCTAATAATAATAATCCGTAACAACGTTTTTTTTTTTTTTTTTAATAGAAAATTTAAACTTTATTCCTTTTTACATATATATATATATATATATATATATATATATATATATATATATATATATATATATATATATATATATATATATATATATATCAGCTACACTTATTACTAACAACCAACGATTCTCTGTCACACACACTTCAATGGCTTTACAGCAATACTCGTTGATGGCGGTGACACTAATCGCCATTACAGTCTCCTGCACGTCTAGGGTTCAATCAATCGGGGTAAACTGGGGCACCACCGCATCTCATCCTCTACCGCCGTCGAAGGTAGTTGAGCTACTGAAGCTCAACAAAATCACCAAGGTAAAACTCTTCGACTCCAACCCTCAAGTCCTCGAAGCCCTCTCCGGCTCCGACATTGACGTCACCGTCGGCATTCCTAATTCCATGCTCCGTTCCTTAAACTCTTCCGTCAAGGCTGCCGAAAGTTGGGTCCACGATAACCTCACCCGTTACCTTTCCGGCCGAACGCGTATAGAGTATGTTACATTTCAGCCCCCTTTTCACACACATAATTACTGCATTTTGTTGTTAGAATAATCAATAACGTGATTTGTCTTCAATTCAGGCATTTAATATGCCCGGTATGTTACTTTCTGTCCATCCAACATGCGTTAAGGCTATTTATTTCTGGATTTGAGTTCTAATAACTAATCCACATTTTGATCTTAATTGAAACAATAACGATTGGCAATTAATAGGAATTTATGCATAGATTAAGTAATAACTGATTATGATCCACATTCTCTGATTTTTCTGGATTTCCTTTCTAAATTTATGCATACCCTTTGTTTCCCCAATTACTCTATGAATTACCCTAGAATTATGTTTATCATGTGATACTGAAAGAAAAGATAAACACACATTTGCAGGTATGTTGCTGTAGGAGATGATCCATTTCTCCAAACCTACGGTTCCCAATTCTACCCTTTTGTAGTTGGAGCAGCCATCAGTATCGAAGCAGCTTTAATCCGAGCTAAACTACAAAAAAAGGTCAAAATCGTAATTCCATGTAGCTTCGATGCATTCCAATCAGAATCCAACCTACCCTCAACAGGTCACTTCCGACCCGATATCAACAAAACCATGATCGCTGTACTCAACTTCCTCACCAAAACTGACTCCCCTTTTTTTGTGACCATTTCGCCCTTCTTATCCCACTACCAAAACAAGAACATTTCACTCGATTTCGCCCTTTTCAAAGAATCCGCACACCCACATAAAGACACCCATAATAAATCATACAAAAACAGCTTCGATCTAAGCTACGATACCCTCATTACCGCTTTAACAGTTGCAGGATTCCCCGAGGTCAAAATCGTAATTAGCCAAATCGGATGGCCGACAGACGGAGCTCCAAATGCCACCGTGGCAAACGCAGAGATTTTCACCAAGGGTCTTTTCAACCATATCCATAGTCAAAAAGGGACCCCACTTCGACCTCGGGTGATGCCGCTAGAATTTTACATTTATACCCTTGTAGATGAAGATCAAAGGAATACAAGTATGGGAAATTTCGAACGACATTGGGGTTTGTTTACTTTTGATGGGCAAGCAAAATATGAGGTTGAGTTTTTTCGAGGTGTGAAAGGGCTTGTGAATGCACAAAGTGTTGACTATCTTGCCCCTAGGTGGTGTGTTGTAAATAACAACTTGGATATGATGAATGCGAGTGTACGTGCCACGGAGGCGTGTATGAATGCTGACTGTACCGCACTTTCGCCAGGTAGCTCTTGTTTTAATCTGAGCTGGCCTGGTAATGTGTCGTATGCGTTTAATAGTTACTACCAGGAACATGATCAAAGGGCTGAGAGTTGTGATTTTGGGGGGCTTGGGATGATCACAACCGTTGATCCATCCGTTGGTGATTGTAGATTTAATGTAGAGCTGAAAGCTTCGTTATCGGTTATGTTTCATGGGTTTAACTTTTGGCATTATTTGATCTCACTTGTTTTAACGATTTTGATGTTGTTATAATGGTAGAATTATTTGTTGTGTAGTAGATTAGGGTTATTTGGGAGCAACAATATTTGCTTCTTTGATGAGACTTATTAGGGTCATTGATAGTCGATGTTGTTTTGTTGCTTCTTCTTCATGTGTTTATTCTAGAGTCCTTTTTATTTTGTGCTGTATAGTTGAACCACGTTAAATTCAACATTTTTTTTTTTTTTTTTTTACTTTATTGCTTAAATTCTACATTAACTTGCACACTTAGTTGTATTTGGCAAAGAGAAATGATCGGGGTGGTGTTCAACGATCATATAGGGAAGAAGATTGGGTGAAGTGTAAAGGTGATGCACGTAAGTTGTTTGTTGAAATGCCTTGACCACATAAGCTTTGTTAATGTTTGAGTATGACAGACACATCATTGAGATGCATATATGTATGAACCATTTCAAACCTATTTGGGGAATAGTAAACCACTATGATTATAGTATATGCAAATTACCAAGTAAAACTTGCAACATTCTAAGACCGAGAGTAATATTTCATCTTATAAACACGTTAAAAAATGCTTTGGAAAAGGGGATTAAAATGAAGAAATTATGTTGGGGAGATGATCAAGATTATATCTTTGATTACCTCTCGATGTTCTAACGAGGGAAAAGTCAAAGAAGTCAATCATGAAAGTTAGATTACCTCTTTGATTACCTTTCATTAGTTTCATTCTGTTATGTTATCAAGTCAAAGACTTGGGAAGAGTTTTCCACTTCTCTAAAGCAGGAATCATTCAATATAACTCAATGACTCAAAGATCTGAACCAAAATTTCAGTTTTTTCCACTTGATTTGCATTCATGTTTGCAATAAACCTATATCAATTAGTATCCGAGCAGTTTCAATTCACCATATGAAACACCCATCTAATTAAGTTATTATATTGTTTAAAATTCATTTAGCTTTTATTGAAAACGTCATTTGCAAAAAATATGGTCTCTTAGTCTCCGGTTGTAAACGTTTAATAGTTTAAAAAAGTTATTTTAGGAGGGTTGATCAACCATAATATCATAATATAATTTCAAAGAAACCACTGCATTCAATCGTGACCTTCTAAATATTCATGTCATCTATAGTATTCAATCACTATTCTCACCTGAATACATGTCCAAATACGCAGTTTAGGCATTGAGAATGCATGTGAGTAATGCCGAAATTCAATGTCTTTATGGTTAGAAGGAATCAATACATTCCTTAAACCAATGAGAATCCCTAAAATAGTTTTAAAGTTTTTAGAATAATGTATTAATTAATTACTTTCATAGAATAAAACCATCCTTAAAATCTTTGTGAAACTCCTTAGTCACTAATCATTAATCGCTATAGACATTTATGTCTAAATCATACGTGAGTAGTCTTTATTCATCATCAATAGACAGAAAAAATTATATATCATTAGTCATCATTAGACTTTTGTGTCAACACCATATATCATTAAACATTCATCATAATATAACTTTTAATAAAAATTAATTATAAATATGATATAAGTAGATGCAATGCAATATGCTTCTATTTTTTTTCTCGAATAATTTTGTGTCCGTTTCTCACTAGTCATTTGTCATTTGATAGCTCATTGGAGTTTATGTATAGGTAGCACAAACTCATTATACATTACTCCTCATATCGTCGTTTTGATAAGGTACAAATGTGTTATTGTCACAAGTATCGTACACGAGTTATCTAGCTTACATGTACTTGTATAAAATACTATCACTTAGGACAATGATCTTTCATTAATCATTTATTCATAATCAAAGTTCATTTTAAAAATATTATTTTCGTGAATGCATATATGTTTACATCTACTAATTCCTATAACACATAAATAATTTAAACATCATTAAGTATTTCAACATATTTATCTCATAAGGGATATGTATTCGGTAGTTACTCACTTCAAAACTTGGTATCCCACACCTCTCAAGCTTCATTTGCTTCAAATCTCTACTCTACCTTCAATCGACACTTCTAGATCTTTTTTCAACTTCCAAAAACCATCATTCGCACACTCTCACTCTATTTGATCTCATATTGAAGAAATTAGGGGGAGGAGAAGTAATCAAACTTATATATCTATGCCCACTTAACACTTTAACCCGTGTAATTTTTGTTCTTTCATTTTGAACACCATTTAAACTAGTCTTTAAGATTTATGAGCGTTATAATTCAAATATTTTATCAACCAACTAAGCACCACATGTTCGACTTAATTGTCATATTTAGTCATTCTTGTTTATTTTTTCTTCCAAGTCTAAATTATCTCTCTTTATTTAAATATTTAATCAAACAATAATATAGCAATTCACTTAATCATTTTATTTTATTTATCACTTTTTCGATATTTATTCAGTATTGGTTAAAACTCCGATTTAACAAAAATTATGTACGAATTATAACGCGACCCTTTTGCATCATTTGATGCGAGATGGGGTTTACAACTTTTAACGAGTCGGCCACTCGAGCAGACGAGAACCATATAAATCCGCTTAAATTCCCCTTCCCCCTTTCACTCTTTTTCTCTCTTAAACAGCTCCAAAGAAACCCTAACAAAAATGTCCGGGTACGGTCACGAAGGAGACGGATCTGCTCCACCGCCCGTTGGTGGAGGCTACGGTGGAAGTAGCGGTGGCTACGGAGGTAGTGGTGGAGGTTACGGAGGTAGCGGTGGTGGTGGAGGCGGATATGGAGGCAGCGGTGGGGGAGGTGGTTACGGAAGCAGTGGTGGTGGAGGCAGTTACGGAAGCAGTGGTGGTGGAGGTGGATCCTATGGCGGAAACCGTGGCGGAGGTGGAGGATATGGAGGCGGCGGCCGTGGTGGAAGTGGAGGTGGAGGCGGAGGCGGAGGGTATGGCAGTCGAGGTGGAAGTGGTGGCAGAGAAGGAGGTGGTGGTGGAGGATACGGTGGTAACTCACAAAATCGTGGTCGGTACATCACTCTGACTTTCGTCTTTAAAAATTTTCTTTCAACACAACATTGAATTTGTCGTTTCGTTTTTATTTAAATTCCAGGTGGAGGTGGATATCAAGGCGGAGATCGTGGGCGTGGAGGCGGAGGTGGTAGAGGTGGTGGACGTGGCAGTGGTAGAGAAGGAGACTGGCCTTGCCCTAAACCGGGGTAATTCATTTCTTCTCTCGATCTGCTCGTTTTCTTTTCGTTATACAAATAGGAATTTGTCTAATGGTTACGATGCACTCAATCACAATATTGGGATTGAACCTTTGTTACCATGTTTTAAGTTTTAAAGTGACGAATGTCGCTTCAATCATATCTCCCCCAAAAAAATCAAGAACTTACTGAAAGCACTAATATTACAACTTTACAAGTACGGCTTTGCAATTCTTGACTTTTTTGGATTTATTCCCTTGAAGATGTGAAGGTCAAGGATTAGTTGTTGTCCTTGCTTCATCTAGTTTACACGTTTATTTATCCCATTAAGCTTGCACGATCTAGATTCAGACTTCTGTAAATCATGTTCAATAAGAGATAGACGAATTTTAGAGAACTAAATAATAAGTATATGCTTGTTTTGAGATATTGGTGAGTGTTAACTAATTATGATACATGAGCATAAAATTAAGCTCTTTGAATTGGTGAATTCAGTAAAAATCTTGATGCTATGAGGCATGTTCTTTTGTGGATCATCTTGTGTTGTGACATTATGGTTTATGGTTATCATATGTCCTTCATTCTGTATAGAACATACTACAAGCCATACACTATCTAGCTGTTGTTGCTGAATGCATTTATTTTTCACTGACTTTAGTAATATAATTGTTTCCTAACTCGTTTTTTTCAGAGTTTTGTTGCTATAACTTTTATATGTTTAGTGTTCAGAAGTAACTTAAATTCCCAATGAATAAAAGCTGCAATTTTTGACTTAATGAATGTTCTTGTTAAATAGCTGTGGCAATTCGAATTTTTCTTGGAGAGCCGAGTGTAACAAATGTGGGACCCCCTCTCCTGCTGGCGCGGGTGGTGGCGGTGATCGTGGGCGTAATGACGGCGGCAGTTACAATAAAGGTGGGGGCGGACGCAGTGACAGCAGAGGTGGGAGTGGTGGTGGATATGGTGGTGATAGAGGAGGTAGGGGCGACTATGATGGTGGGAGCGGTGGCGGAAGTAGAGGAGGCGGTGGTTCCTATGGCGGCAGTCAAGGAAGAGACAGTGGTGGTTATGGTCAGGGGGCGGCAGCAGGGTATGGTGGATCTGACAGTAGTTACCCTCAACCACCTTCCTCATATGGGGCTAACACTGGTTATGGAACCGATGCTGTCCCTCCACCTGCCAGCTATAATGGTGGACCAACTTCATATCCACCTTCTTATGGTGGTGGTGGTGGTGGCGGTTATGGTGGTGATTCTGGTGGTGGCCGTGGTGGCTCAGGTGGTGGATATGGTGGTGCTCCACAGAGTCAAGGCGGTTATGGTGGTGGTTCTCCTGCTACTGATGCACCAGCGAAGGTGAAGCAGTGTGATGAAACGTGTGATGAGTCATGTGACAATGCAAGAATTTATATCTCAAATTTGCCTCCAAATGTGACTGTTGATGAATTGAGAGAACTCTTTGGAGGCATTGGACAAGTAAGTAATTACAATTGTTTTATTTTTTAATTATGATAATCTAAATTTATAATTTTGTTATTATCATAACAATTATTTTAGGTTGGGAGAATTAAGCAGAAGCGAGGATATAAGGATCAGTGGCCTTATAACATTAAGATCTACACTGATGAAAAAGGAAACAACAAAGGAGATGCTGCTTTGGTTTATGAGGATCCTTCTGCAGCACATTCTGCTGGGGGATTCTACAACAGTACGTACATTGTTTTCGTAATTTTTTGTTTAATTTTTATTTTATTTTATGGGTATGTCTAATTTTTTTTTTTTTTTAATGTTGATCAGATTATGAATTGAGGGGTTACAAAATTAGTGTGGGAATGGCTGAGAAATCAGCTCCAAGGGCTCCTCCTGCTCATGGGTAAGGGTATAAATATAATAATTAATAAACAAGATAAGTCTTTTGGTGATTGAGTGTGCTAACATTGGTTGTTTTCTGCAACAGTGGTGGTGGTGGTGGTGGAAGAGGAGGTGGCGGAGGCTATGGTGGTGGTGGTGGACGCAGGGACAACTACAGAGATGGTGGTCCGGATAGGAACTCTCATGGTGGGAATCGGTCTCGGCCATACTGAAGATGAAGGGGATTTAAAGTTATTAAAACTGTGTAGAAGAGAGGAGGATTGTAGTGGATTGCAGGCAGGGGGTTCTTGTTCTTGTTCCCTTGGGGAGGGAGTTTAAGAGGTAGGTTTATCAAATATCTTGCACTTGCTTGCCCCTTTTCTCCTCACTTTTTTTTCTTGATAAAATCAGATGTTGTTAAGGGGGATTAATTGTGTGAATGTTTTTATAGAGGCCAATGAATGCCAAGACTAGAGGATCATATATGTGTACTCCAAATCTGCTTCTTCTTCTTCTTCTATAAGGTAGGTAGATTAAGAGATATTTTGCAGGTGAGTGTTGCTGTTGCTTGCTATTTGAATAACAACCAACAAAATTACTACTATGACTACTCCCTGCCTGATTCATTTGCATTGCGTGCCTTTTTTCTTCTCAACACTATTCTGATGATTAAAACCCAAATCTGCTGGATGAGCTGTTTCAGTTTCACCCACTTTTCATTGTAAACTGTGTGTTTTGTTTTTTGTTTCTGTTGCTGTGCTGTGATGTGATGTGGTGAAAGCAGCAAGGAGCTGGAGTATTTTTGAAAACAGGACTACTAAACATGCTTCTAATGACCTAATATGCTGAGCACTTGAAATGTGTAAACTAATGATATGCAGTTTGTATGATTAAGTAGTAGAGAACATGAGCGTAACAAATATACTACAACACTCTGTAATCAACTTTTTCTTTATTTAAAACATAAATCTTGCAAAATACAAGTTGGTCTGCTACTCTTACTTATGAATTATGATGCAATAGTCACCAAGCAGTTATGATTCTGGGTTTATTTTGGAGGTTACTCAAACTCAGTTTTCCTTTTCCACCCATGGAATCATAATCATATTTGATATTTCAAATAACAAGTCTACATTTATGAGATGATTTAAATTATATAAGTTATTTGGTATATGACTGATACCAACTACATGGGTGTATGTTACTTTTCAATGAGTCGGTGCTATTAACCCAGGAAAGGTGCATCTTTTTACAGGGTTGTCTTTGGATGTTTGTTTATTCCTTAATACTAATGCAGATGTTGTATGATGGAAATGATAAAAACGTAAAAGTCAGAAACTAAATTCCCATGACATCTTAAAACAAAGGTTTATTGATTCTTCAAGCATTATTGGATCTGATGCTTATCGGTCACAGAGCGTGTCATAAGCCATATGGAATTTGTCTAGTAGTTGTCAAAATAAAATGCATTCAAACAAGTTACAAGTGTACTCAATGTAATTGCTTAATAGAGAGTGCACTTTTATATTATAAATGACATGTAATATTTTGTAGGCTATATAGAACTTGGGCTTAAGTACAACAAAACTTTGATTGAGATAAAGTTAAGATAACAAAGAACATATAACGAAAAGAATGCGTCCAATTCGAGTTCATAGTTCGAAGTGGTGGAAATTTTATGAAAAAAATTATTGAGTTTTGAAAATTTAATAATTTTCAAATACCTATAGGGCTTAACATATTTCAAGTTTTTTGATTTATGAGACCAAAAGACTTCTAACTTTATCTTTCTTCCTTGAGGTTGAAAGTTTATGTTCCATCAGGGATATGTGTATTAAGAAGTAATTTAGGAGCATATTAGATTACTGTTAAAAAAATGATTCTTGAGTCTAACATATAACCAAGACATAGAAGAAGATGCTGAAAGAAGAATCAACCCAATCCAAATTAATTACTAATTATCGAGAATAACATATAGCCAAGATGGAAGATGAAAGACAAAAAAATCAGCCCAATCCAAATTTGTCCAAATTGATATGGGAGAGTTAAGGTAGTTCTAAGTTAAGGAAAAACAGTGTGAATTAACGGAACAAAATACCGACCCAGAAAAACTATATGGTTCGGTTTCATATAGTCATTTCAAGTTTAATACTATGATGGAGACAAAATCCACAGGGACTACAATGAAAAGCTTTCAAAAGAATGATGACTGAATTCTTTTAAATAGTTTGACTGAATCTAAAGACAACAACAAACCTCAGAGACCACTTATGCAATTGACCATTTAAGCAAAATTTTATATAAGCTCCATCCATATTCAAGAAAGTTTGAAACCAACCCAGTAACTTTGATGTAGAAAAACATATTTCATCTATGTAATGTTTGCAAAATTATAATCACAAATCAACAACTATAACTATTTTTTGTGGGTGATGATATAAATTTAACTCATCTTCAACCTGAAACACAATCAAGAAAGAACAGACTTGATATCAGATTCAGATGTATAGTACTATTACACCTTTCTCACTACATTCAACATGGAAGTGAAAATGCATGTTTATAATTGGCAATGATTACTAGATTCTTACCAGAATCACTCGATAGGAATCGGATCTAACTATATATGGGTTAAATGCAAGAATTAGCAATATACTTCCATTAAATTGTTTTACTATAAACATCTACTTTCATTTCTTCCTATTATTTGGCATGCATTGATTATTTTAATCTCTTCTCTTGCAAAAGACAAGAATACCCTCTTCATTCTCATCATAAAAAATTAGTAAAGTACCTGGAGTTACAGCAGCCAAAAGCCATAGCCAGGTTATCCCATCTCAGAATTCCCATATCCACTTCCTGTTTTAAGCATTCAACCTCAACTTTAACTCATTGACTAAAAAATGAAGTTAAAAATGGAGGGATGCGAGAAGAAGTTAGAAGTAGAATAGCAAACTTGCCTAGAATTGAAGTGGCTTCCACCGCAGCTGCCGCCCTTGCTCTCTTCACTGCATCATTAACCTCCACCTGCAACCTTTCAATTTCACGAGCCAGAAACATCCTGCATTTCTCCATTGCTTCACGTTGTTTAATGTTACTCACATGCACCCTTTTCTCATGTTCAATTACTTCTCTGCAATTCACATTTCACCCCAAAAGCTTTCAAAATCACCAATGATTGCACAAAAGATTAGTTTAATCATGCTCCTATCTAATTACTTGATCCAAATGTTCATGTTTGAATCACGAAAGCAGGATTAATAGCCAACAGATATTCACATCAGTACCAAATGGCAAATCACTGATTTATGAAATGTTTCCGTTTCGTATTAACCCAAAATGGCAAGGATTATTAGATATGGATTCACAGATTTCATCAGTGAAATTCATCAAAGTCATTAGGGTTTATAAGTTATAATGAAAAGGGGATTAATCTGAAGAACAAGTTAATATAGAAAAAGAGTGATTGTGACCTTCCTCTTTGGATTTCTTTCTGCATGCTTTCAATTTCTGCTTTTATTAACGAAATTTGGTGGTATTCGAGCGATACTTTCTCAACGTCGCCACGGAGCTTATACAACTTCTCATCGAGTTCTTTCTTCTCCGATCTTAATTTCTGCAGATGGCCTAGGACTTTAGCCAGTTCAGCATTTGATTCGTCAATCGATCTGACCTCAGCTTCCATTGTCACTGCCCTATCATAAGCCTCGCGCACCTCTGCGTCCCTCTCAGCCTTGATTTTCTCGGCAGCGGCGGAAAGGTGGCGGAGGTCGTTTTGGGAAGCAGAAAGTTCCACTGTGAGAATTTCGTGAAGCGTCAAAAGGTGTTGATTGTCAATAAGAAGTGATTGCATCTGTGGATGCTGGACGGCGGTCCTGTGATCTCCGATGACGTAACGAGCGGGTGGAGTTGAGTCGATTAAGGGTTGTCTCAGCTTTAATGGGCTTGATGCAATGTAGATTCTTCCTTCCATTTCACCTGTTCGTACTTGGCAGTGTGTGTCGATAACTAACTAGCGGATTTCTTACCGGCGAGAGCCGCCGTGTACAGGGCGTTACCCTCTTTCCCGCTTCCGGCGGCGTGCACTTTTCACTTTTTGTTTTGTTAAGAAGGTCACGTTTAGGCCAGCCGTTTTATATATAATCGTACATGCCTGCATGACTGGCATTTTCGTTATTTATTTTAGACATAAATTTAAAAGCACAACGAGAACTTCACAAAAATATGTTGGTAAATATTCAAATTTTGAGCATTTATTCGAATCAAATATCCCTAAAATCTGAAATATTTAATATCTATCATTTTTGAATTAAATTAATTTTTTAAGCTTGAATCATAACAGAAACAATATGATTTTAGGAGATATGAGGGTGGTTGGCAAAACTAGTTGCTAGTGGGTAGCAAACTAACTGGTAGTGTTTTGTTAAACGTTACATGGAGTAGTATTTAGATTTGAAACGTTTTGTTTAAACTAAACGTTAGAAACTTAAAGTATCAAACGAAACATTCTGTTCCAAATAAAACTTTATGTTAAACGCTAGAAGTTAGAAACTCTTAAACGCTCCATACCAAACACGTCCTATATTAAAGATATAAGAAACCGACTCAACTACTCCCAAAATTTGAAATGTTGTTTTTGCTCGGTTTCTTTTCTTTAGATTTAGGAAAATACAATATTTTCTCAAATTTTCGGACTTCATGGGATTTTATATATAGGGCCCGGTTTAGGTGATGCCTTTTTTTTTTTTTTTTTTTTTTTTTCTTCGATGAGGACTCATGAGGATATTTTAAAAAATTGAAAAAAAACGCAAGTCATAAAATCGATATATATATATATATATATATATATATATATATATATATATATATATATATATATATATGATCCGGTTCCGGTGAAGACTCATAACGACACCTTAAAAAATTGAAAAAAAAACGCAAATAATAAAATCGAGCATAAAAAATTGATTTTTTTTTCGAATTGTTAAAATTGAATCATGGATCATAAAAGTGAATCATGGATCATGATCCATGCTTCAATCTTAACGATCCAAAATTTTATTTCCAATTTTTTTTCTCTTTTCGATATAGTATTATGCTTGATTTTATGATTTGTATTTTTTTCAATTTTTTTAAGGTGTCATCACTGAAAAAAGAATCCTCACCCGATCATGTTTTATTCTTTCTTTCTCTCTCTCTCTCTCTCTCTCTCTATATATATATATATATATATATATATATATATATATATATATATATATATATATATATATAAGGTTAAGATTAAATGTGAACAACAATTATTGTATGAATGTATGACTATTTTTTATCCATTAGATTAAAAAATAAATTGGTGTGATTTGAGGGTGCATATGTTTAACATGGGATGTCATACACTATATAACTACACTTATTTATATATAAGGGTACTTTAGTCTATTACAATGTATTTTAAAAAGGAAGATACTTTTTTACTGCCTAATTTAATGGAATTTTAATTAAATACTTATTTATTTTATTTTATAAAATTAACATTTTTTTAAAGGGAGTTCATATGTTATTACGTATGAATATATGTTCTATTTTCATTTTTAAGGAATATGATTTTAATTAAGTAATTTTATTAAAATTAACATTCTTAAAGACTATACTTACATATTTTATTAAGAATAACAACTTGCATCAAAGTAATAATCATTCTTATTACAATGCTAACACACTTTTAAAAATCCTACAAAAAGTAACACAAATAAGATTTTCTAAAAAAAAAAATACATTCTTTGAGAATATGATGATTCTTATAGAACATATGTAGATACATTATTTAATAAATAAGCAACATTCTAAAAGTGAAAGAAATAAAAACATTCTTGAAACAAATAATGTTATGCAAAAATAATAAATAGGAGACATTCTTGTGAAAAGTAACACATAGCATAATTCACAGGACACGACAATGCATCAGGAGAATATGAACATTCTTATAGAATATATACAAGTGTATTACTTAAGAATGTTAATTCTCACCGAGTGGTTGAGAATAAAAATGAGTAAAAAAATAAATAAGAATGATTGAAAATGAAAAATAATTATGTGACATTTAACGTTTCATATTAGTAAAATAAACATATATCTCGTGCCATTCTAAAAGAATACATGAAAAATAAGAATACATATGAATGGAAATAATTCTTTGAGAATGAACTTATTATCTTCAAATTTAGCTTTTAGATTTTTACCCACTCAAGCTTGATGGTCTTTAAGGCTTCCACTATTTTAGCAACCATGCATAAGTAGATAACAAATATTCACGAGACATTAAACATAATTAATCAACTGATACCAATGAGTTATAATTTGAACACTGGAAATTTTCAAGAAATTAATTGAACAACCAAAGCTAGTAACGCATGTCACCAATGATTCATTGTTCCATTAATCTAAAACTCTTGGCAAACATAAGCAACTTTTTTTTTTACTAATTGTACTGGTGCGTAATATATAGGGTAAATTACACCAATCGTCCCTCGCACACATGTCAGAAAGCGTGTTTAGTCCCTATTTTCAAAAATTAACTCGGATAGTCCCTTATGTCGTTAAAAGTTGCACGCTTCATCCATCGTTAGTTTAATTTTGTATGTTTTATCCCTTGTGAGACATGAAAGGACTATAATGCCCTTTTTATTTTCTTTTTCATTTATTTTTATCAATTTCAATTATTTTTAATTATTAAAAAGTATTATAATTATTTTTCCATGTTTCTGAAGAATACTTGACCACCACCACCATCGGTAATCCCCACCACCACCACCGGTAATCTCCACCACCACCACCGGTAATCTATGCCATCGCCGGAAAATGGAGCACCGCTGCCACCCCTTAGCTTACCCCACCCACTTCCCGGTTCAAAGCTCATCTTTTCCATTGAAAATAACCACCAACCACCAACTCAATCAATCTTTCATTCACTTTTTGTAAAGCTTCGGTGACCTCCACAGCAAAATCAACAGAAGTCTGCCTAAGCTCCAGTTTAATCTTCTCAAGCTTTTCAAGAACTTGTTTTGCTTCATGCGTTTCCTCCGACGAAGGATCCAAACAGAAGTGTCGATCTAAACGGTAAGGAGAAGATTAAGGAGGAGTGCAGATCTATTATACTCAAATCAGAGTGAAGATATGCTACCCTGTCATTGGAAAAAATGAGAGGCGGCTAGCGTTTGGTGCGCATGTGCATATATTCTTCGATCTTTCTTCACCATCACTTGTTGTGAGTTGCCCGCACCCATAGATTTGTGTAGAAACCCTAACATCATCGTATGAAACCCTAAATGTAGATCTGGGTTTGAGTTTCAGACCTAATTTTAGAGAGGGAGAGGACGTGGTTTCTGATGTTCAAATTTCTGATTTGGGTTTGAGTTTTAGATCTAAATGTAGATTTGAATCGGTTCAAGATTCATGAGGGGTTTGATTTTCAGATTAGAAGGCAGGTTTTGGGTTGAATATTTGATGCTTGACAGTGAGGTATGGTTTATCAATGGTGGAGATTGATGATAATTGGAGGTGGTGGATATTAATTGTAATTGTTTGTGGTTTTTGGAGGGTATTTGAGATTAACGATGGTGATATGAAAGAGGGGAAAACAAAAGATTTTTGGCTAGTTAGTTTCGCCGGAGGAAGGAGGAGGACGGGCAGTTTCTGGTGGTATTCAGTGGTGGTAGACAGTGGTTCTCATGGTGTTGATTTCTAGGAAAGGTAGAAGGAAAATGGAAAGAGAATGGGAGGGGAGGGGTGGGGATATTTGATTTTTTAATTTTTTTATACTGATAAATGAATAAAATAAAATGAAAAATAAAATTATTAAGGGTAAAATCATCATTTCATGTCAATAGGGACTAAAAATGAAAGAAAAAACAAACCAAGGGACGGTCCGAGTTAATTTTTGAAAATAGGGACTAAACATGTTTTCTGGCATGTGCATGAGGGACCAATGGTGTAATTTACCATAATATATAATATGATATCCATATGGAAATTTCGATTGGCTAAAATGTATAATTCTTAAAATCTAGCTAAGTGAATCTTTAAAACACTCGACCTTCACTAAACTTTTTGTAACTAAGATAATTAACTTTTTGTAACTAAGATAATTAGACCAAAGAATTCATACACTAGAAACTTCACCGACTGGCTGTCTATGCTCTTTCCAATTTCATTATGAATGGAAATGGACTTTCAAATATAAGGTTTAACAAAATTAATCAAACGATTACATTTGAGGTTTAGCAAAAGTAGTCACATATAAAGAAAAAAAAAAGACAAAATTGCAAGAATGGTCCATGTGGTATGTTAAAACTAGCATGTTTGGTCCAAAATGGGTTTGGCTTGTAAGGATGTCCAAAAGTTTGATTTTCTTGCGAGTTTGGTCCGTTTCATAATTGGAAGTGTGTAAAATGACCTATTTGCCCTCTCTATTTTGTTTTCCCTTTTCTTTTTATTAATTTTAATATTTTCTGATTAATAATTAAATAAAAAAGAAAAGAAATACAACCCTACCCCATCTAACTCCATTTCTGTGCTTCTAACTATTCTTGACTGCATCATACTTTGTTTCAATAAAATGAAAAAAAAAAAAGAAACACATAAATACTGGTCTTGGAGCTCTCGGTGATTGAGTTTCTTCCTTTTCTTGTTTGGTTCCTCTTAGAGATTTATCAACTGGAGAAGGGGATCGAACCATCGACTAGGGTCCGTCCGTCTGTGATGGTGGTTGTCGTCGTTGAAGCTGCTATTGCCAGAGGGATGTTGTTGCGAAGGAAAAGTGGTCCTCGACCTGCGAAAAGATGTAGTTGACTAACGGAGACAAATCGAGAAAACAGGGGAGGTTGCGATCGTTGTCAATGATGTTTCGTTGGAGGTGCTTTATGGGTGAAGTGACATCTCGGAGGTGTTTTGTTGGGGTCAACGGTTGCTAGCCGT